GATGCCCCTCCTGGTAAGTGTACGCTCACTGATGGTGATGTTCAACTTGAAGGAGTCACTTTGGACACACCATTGAAGTCCTAAGGCTCGTTCTATAGGCAATTGATCTTTGCTCAAGTCCAAGTCTTTTATCTCTTTAGCTCTGTCTTGTTGTGAAACAGCACCAAGGACAACTCTACTGTTGCTTATCCACTTTGATAAATGGAAGCCTCCTCTACGACAGACTTCAGTGCAGTGTTAATTTCGTCGACGAAAACTATGATGAAAAATTTTCGTTACTGAACATTTTTTCCATGACTAAGACGAGACTAAGAAGTGATGAAAACGATCTTAAAAAATAAAAAATATGACTAAATCTATTCTCACTTTTGTTAACGAGACGAGACGAACATGATGGTGGTTGACGAAGTCACGATACTTTTTCCTAACAGACAACAGACAAAGTACGGCAGATATTAACGCGTCATTATGACGTCATCCACGAGCCCAGAACGTGCGCTCGCAGCGGTGGTTCTTGTGCACCGACTACGGACCGCGACGACTATTTTACGCTTCGGTCAGTTTGAACGTGGCTTCGTTAGTTTAGCTCAGCTGTCTCTGTTTAGCTGACTGTTAGCAGACTGAAGCCGAGCTGCTTCACAGTGTTACGACCCCCGGTCTTGTCTGTGTTCTGTGTGTGTGATAACCCTCCTCAGGTGGAGCTAATTGTCTTCATTACTCATCCGCCCTCCCGTGATCTCCTACAGCTGGTTCCTGTTTTCCCATCCTCCAATCGCATCGTCCCATCAGCTGTATTTATGTGTTTCTGGTTGTTCAGTCCAGATCTCTCAGGCAGGGTGTAAGGTTGTGTTTGGGGTGCTCTTGTGAAATTGGTTGTACATGGTGGAGTGTTTTGGAGTATTGAAAGTGTTAATCATTTGTATTTCGTGTGTCCTTCCCAGGGAGAACGGAAAGCACTTGGGAGTGTTAGGAAAGACGCCCTGGGCATACATCACCCGTAGGGATATCTCCTGTTATACACACCAGGTTAGATCTGAGCGATCCACCCCCTGTATTTTTGGTTAGGGCGCCTTGCTCGAGCGCCAGAGTAAATAAGTGTTTTGTGTAGGACGTTGGGACAGGTAAGGGGTGGGGTTTTGCTAATTTCTTTGTTTTGGATCAGCTCAGCCGTCCTCCCATTTCCCTCTATTGTTTATTATTATTATTATTATTATTAATAAACTGGCACGTGCTAGCCTGTTTAAACCAAACCCATCGATGTTGGTGTGATTACTTGCGCCCACACCCGGTCTCTGGCCGTCTGGGGTTCTTGGCAGCGCGGTGTATGTTCCCCTCCCCTCACGGGGTGCTGTACGTGCGTAAAAAATGGGGGCTCGTCCGGGATCTGTGCACCCCGCTGCTTGGACCCTGACTAACCATTGACTGGTGTGGGTGATGAGGAGCCATTTGGTACCTCGTCCACACGGTCGGTGGACGGTGTGGGGGTTGTGAATGGGATGACCTTTAGTTTGTTGTGTGTTCGGTAATAGTGTACATGATGGCTACTTCAGCCATCTCCAGTTTTGTTGATGTCCCCTCAGTCGCCGCAGCGATCTCCCCTTCGCGCTGGGCCGCAGCGATCTCCCCTTCCCGCTGGGCCGCAGCGATCTCCCCTTCCCGCTGGGCCGCAGCGATCTCCCCTTCGCGCTGGGCCGCAGCGATCTCCCCTTCCCGCTGGGCCGCCGCCGCAGCGATCTCCCGCTCCGAGACTCTCAGTCCCTGCCCCGAAGCCCCCAGCTATCGCGTGTTTAAGTACTGGGTTACGTTTGGTTGTTTTGTCGCAAACTGGAGGTTTGCTGTTTTTGTGGTGGGCGTGTTACGACCCCCGGTCTTGTCTGTGTTCTGTGTGTGTGATAACCCTCCTCAGGTGGAGCTAATTGTCTTCATTACTCATCCGCCCTCCCGTGATCTCCTACAGCTGGTTCCTGTTTTCCCATCCTCCAATCGCATCGTCCCATCAGCTGTATTTATGTGTTTCTGGTTGTTCAGGTCCAGATCTCTCAGGCAGGGTGTAAGGTTGTGTTTGGGGTGCTCTTGTGAAATTGGTTGTACATGGTGGAGTGTTTTGGAGTATTGAAAGTGTTAATCATTTGTATTTCGTGTGTCCTTCCCAGGGAGAACGGAAAGCACTTGGGAGTGTTAGGAAAGACGCCCTGGGCATACATCACCCGTAGGGATATCTCCTGTTATACACACCAGGTTAGATCTGAGCGATCCACCCCCTGTATTTTTGGTTAGGGCGCCTTGCTCGAGCGCCAGAGTAAATAAGTGTTTTGTGTAGGACGTTGGGACAGGTAAGGGGTGGGGTTTTGCTAATTTCTTTGTTTTGGATCAGCTCAGCCGTCCTCCCATTTCCCTCTATTGTTTATTATTATTATTATTATTATTATTATTATTAATAAACTGGCACGTGCTAGCCTGTTTAAACCAAACCCATCGATGTTGGTGTGATTACTTGCGCCCACACCCGGTCTCTGGCCGTCTGGGGTTCTTGGCAGCGCGGTGTATGTTCCCCTCCCCTCACGGGGTGCTGTACGTGCGTAAAAACAGAAACATGAAGACCCGTTTAACAGACTGTCGGACCTTTCTGCTCTGTTCTCTGGCGACGGCAGGCAGCGTTTCCTCGCTGGATGAGACGCTCCGTTACAAACGCGTCTAACATAATACACTCATTGCAGGTTCTAAAGCCAAGAAAATAATGTATTGCAACGATTGTAGGACGTTAAGGGGTCTCTTTTGTTGGGACAATGGAAACAATAAAGGACCATGAAGTTTCCGGTGTCCACGTCAAAAGCATTGCAAGTAAACAGACAAAGACAACAAAGTGTTGCGTTTAGATCCCTGGTCCTCATGAAATTGTTACACCTTTGCCAATTTGCTAAATTGCCTTGCAAATAAATGCTTTGCTATTTGTTAAAATCCAAATCCTTTCATGTAATGATTTTTCACATGTCATTTATATTAGCTCACACAAACACTTAAACCATTTGTTCTTGGCCCGGCTCCTCCGTCACATTTTACAACCCATTGTGGCCCGCGAGTCAAAAAGTTTGCCGACCCCTGTTATAGACCTGTCCTAAGAGGGACATCTAATGGACAACCAAGTACTGGAAGCTAGACTATTGTGCAGCTGTAGACACAACACAGGGGGTCCCTGGGCCTGAGAAGGGAAGAAAATGAGTTTAATATGGCTATTAAATGTGACTAAAACTAATTACATTTTAGTCTAGTTTTCGTCGACTAAAACTAGACTAAAATGTAATTAGTTTTCGTTGACGAAAACTAGACTAAAACTAAAAAGGATTAAAATGACTAAACGTGACTAAAACTATTTTTTTATTTTAATTATTCATTATTAATTATTTTAATTGTTCGTCTAAAGACTAAGACTAAATCAAAAATAGCTGCCAAAATTAACACTGCTTCAGAGAGGTTAGAGATTAGTTCCATTGCTTCTAGTTCTGTGGGAATCGATTTCAAACAATCATCGACATAAAAGTGCTCTATGATTGTGTTTGTTACCTCAGGGGGAAAGTTGCCTGCATTGTCCTGTGCCGTCTTTCTGAGAGAAAAGTTGGCTATGCTTTGTGAAGAGACCGCACCAAACAAATGAACAGTCATGCGATATTCCACTGAAGCATCATCCGCATTTCCTTGTGGCCACCATAGGAAGCGCAGGAAGTCTGTGTCACTTTCAGTCACCTTGACTTGGTGGAACATGGCCTGTATGTCTGCCATCAGAGTTACTGGTTCTTCTCGGAAACGTGTCAGCACTCCAATCAGCGTGATATACCAAACTCTTCCATCAGTCCTATCAAGTTGTGCGGAAGGAACCACTTCAGCATACCCCTTGTGAATGGCATCACTGAGGAACTCTGTATACTCCTCCCTCTTTGATATTTCAGATCTCTTTTGAACTTCCTTTTCAGATTCAACAGACGCTGTTCTGCAAGAACGCGGTTGTTAGGCATTGTGATATTATCCGCTTTGAAAGGTAAGTCAATGCAGTAGTGACCTTCTTTCACTTTTATAGAATCATTGACCATGCCCAGTGAGCATTTTTTGGTTGAAAAGACGTTTAAAAGACGTCTATGCCCAAAGTTGAAAAGACGTTGCAAAATGGTTTAAAAGTGAAAGTTGTTTCAACGTCTATTCGTAGACGTTGAAAAGACGTCTATGTTTAGACCACATTTCAACGTGATTTTTTAATACGGTAATATTTCGTCCTCTCTTGCGTGCTATATCATTATTTTAGAGGTTTAAAAAGAAACTACGTTCACATTTGTAAGTTTACCACCGATATTATAAATCACGTTGAAAACGGGTCTATACGCGAACGTCTTTAAACGTCTACGAATAGACGTTGAAAAGACTTTCACTTTTAAACCATTTTGCAACGTGTTTTCAACGTCGGGCCATAGACGTTAAACGTCTTTTCAACGTTGAAATGCTCGCTGGTTGAAATGTGGTCTAAACGTAAACGTCTTTTCAACGTCTATGAATAGACGGTGAAAGAACCCAGTGAGCACAATACGTAATTTCAACGTTGAAATATGGTTGAAATCGGGTTGAAATGAGGTCTAAACGTCTAAGACCTCATTTCAACGTCTTTTCAACCGGCTAAAAATGGGATGAAACATCAACGTGCCAGAAAACGTCAATTTGTTGACAAATGTGTCATGATGTAACGTAAGGTTGAAAGATAGACGATATTAACGTTAAGATTTTCATAATAATTAATGAACTGGTCGGCGAAATTTGGTCTACGCGAAGACGTAATTTCAACGTATTTAATATTTCACTTAAAACGTCATAATTATGAAACTACGGACTGCGTGCTGTTAATAAGATGCGTTTAAGGCATAATAATGCGGGCAGTATGCCGCCCTCGGTATATGCGCTCCGATACACCTTGGCAGTTAGACGAACTCTTTTCTGACATCACGACTCTGAAGACAATGGTCCGTTGTCCACAGGTTTATTGACATGAGAAAGAGTAAAACTAAAACACACAAAAGACATAATAAATACAAATGAAGTGCATTTTCTTCGACCGCTACTTTATATATTTATGCTTATTTACTTTGTTGTTTATTAAGTCATATGGACTTTAATGACAACCATAGCAGTGCAGTTACCAACCCGAATGACTCAATAGGCCATGTGCACAAAAATATCCAAACTAAACATTGTCACAAAAATAATCACCTGAGATGATAATGAACAATAAACAAATCAATACGTACCAACGATGCTATCAAAAAGGTATAGGATGCATGCAGACTCAACTGGATTGAAAAGCTACCAATACAAACAGCAGTTCTGAGCCATATTCTTCATTGACTTCCTGGTTCCTGTCACCTGACAAATTACATCACATTTCCTGTTTCAAAATAAAACATAGCATTGATTTAACGTTTGTGACAAAACACTCCCCGCTTGGCGTGAATACACGCCACCCAATAAATCCTAGACAGTTCACTCCACTAGGGCTCTGGGGGGAAAAGAAGCACTATCTCAGAAACAGGCCTGAGAAAGAGTTTAGTCACTCCTGTTCGTGCGACCTTAATCTCGACCTTTCGTACCTTCCCGTCCTCGCTGGGGAACGCCTGTGTTACCAGTCCAAGAGGCCATTCATTTCTTGGTGCTTGACTATCCTTGAGGATAACAACACTTCCTGGGCTGATGTTTGGATGAGCGGAATGCCACTTCTTACGTGCCTGTAGTGTCGGGAGATATTGCTTTCGCCATCTGTCCCAGAAGGTGTTAGACAGGTGCTGGACCTGTCGCCACTGGCGCTTGTAGAGGTCTGAAACTCCAAACTCTCCGGTAGGGGCAGTCAAGACATTCACCTTTTGCGTGAGAAGGGCAGCTGGAGTGAGTATAAATGGATCCTCAGAGTCGGTTGTCACAGGAACAAGAGGTCTGCCATTTATAATGGCTGTAACTTCTGCCATGAAAGTCACCAGCACCTCGTGGGTAAGTTTGTCCTTCAGCTGAAGGAACATGGCGTCCAGGATTCTCCTTGCAAGACCAATCATTCTTTCCCACGAACCGCCAAAATGGGAGGCGTGCGGAGGGTTAAAGGTCCACGAGCAACCTTGACCTAACAGGTAAGTCTTCACAGTTGTGTTGTCAATGTTTGAGGGTATTTTCAACTCCCGGCAGGCGCCTACAAAGTTGGTGCCACGGTCTGAGCGGATGTGTTTGACAGGGCCGCGCACAGCAAGAAAGCGCCTTAGCGTGTTGACGAAGCTGGATGTGTCAAGGGATTCTATGACTTCAATATGAACCGCTCGTACACTCATGCACGTGAAGATTACGGCCCATCGTTTACTGTGTGAGTGGCCTCCTCTTGTTCTACGTGAAGAGACACTCCAAGGGCCGAACACATCAAGCCCAACATTCGTAAAGGGAGGTTCTGTTGAGAGACGGTCCGCTGGAAGACTGGCCATCTTCTGGATTGTAAGTGGGGCTCTAAGCCTTCTGCAGGTTATACACTGGTGGATGATGTTGCTCACCTTTCTTTTACCACCAACTATCCAAAAGCCAGCTGTACGGACGGCCCCCTCCGTAAACAGACGACCTTGGTGATAGATTTGTTCGTGGTGATGCTTGATGAGTAAGGTTGCAACCTGATGCTTGCCAGGAATGATCACTGGGGTCTTCTCGCTCTGAACAAGGTTTGCATTGTGGAGGCGGCCTCCGACTCTCAGAAGGCCGAGTGCATCAATGAAAGGATCCAGATTTTTGAGAGGACTACTTTTAGGAATCTGCTCATGTTTTTGGACACATTTGATCTCTTGACTGTAGGCTTCCTCCTGTACTGCTCGAATGATGATGTGCGATGCTTGATTAGATTCCTCAATATTGAATCCTGTTTTGCAGTGATGCCAGCCTTTACAAAGGCTGTTCTTCAAGGTGCTGTTGAAAAGGCAAGCTATGTGTATGAGGCGAATAATGGCCCGAGTTAGCGACTTCCAGGATGAGAACCTTGCGAATCGCTGAGAACCGAGCTGGTTGGATGTTGTCGTAGTGCTCAAAGTGGATACCAGAGGGCGAATGTCTGAGTCTGCACTCGGGTCCACAAGTTCATGGGTGCTCTCTGAGGTACTGGTCTCCGGTGTGTACAGAGATTTGGGCCCGCTCAGCCAGTTTGTGTCATTCAAACGGCCTGCAGTGACAGCACGTGTAGCGTGGTCTGCGGGGTTCTGTTCTGTTGACACATAGCGCCATTGATCTGGGCGAGAGGATCTTCGGATACGCAATACCCGGTTACTTACATACACATAAAAGCGCCTAGTTTCATTAGAAATGTAGCCAAGGACCACCTTGCTGTCTGAGTGGAAGGTTGTAGCATCGAGCTGAAGGTCTAATTCTGTCGAGATTAGGTCTGCTAACTCCACTCCAAGCACTGCTGCGCAAAGTTCCAGTCTCGGAATTGTTTGCTCAGGACGGGGGGCCAGCTTGGCTTTGCCCATTACAAATCCGACATGGTTATTTCCAGCAGAGTCAGTTACTTTTAGGTATGCCACAGCGGCAATAGCTTTGGTGGATGCGTCAGAAAATACGCACAATTCCCTTCTGACAGCTGTTGCGGGGGAAGTTGTAGTGTAGGCTCTGGGAATAGACAGCTGGGACAGTTCTGTTAAGGATGTTCTCCACGATGTCCATGTCTTGTGGTCCATGTCAAAATGAGAAAGTGGTCTCTCATTTCAGGCCTCTTTTCAAACTGGCGCCTTAGCAACTTGAGACGGTTCACTGCCTGTGGCCTGTTGTTGGGGAGCCTTTGACGTGGGCATTTAAAGGGTAATGGAGCTACCCAACTGTTGTTTGCATCTTTTGTTAGTCCATCTTTCATTATTTCCATAAAGGAGATGTCCTGGATAGATGGAGCAATGTTGTTGTCGTCTTTGGCCTGCTTGAATATGTTATGTCCTAGGCTGTCAACATCACAGTTTGGTATCTCCACAAAATGTGGTTGGAGGTGGTTTGTGGTCTGGGTGTCACTGTAACTTTCCTTTACCCGGAACACGTTAGGACATGGGTCAAAGAGAGTGGGGCGTCCCCGTTCTGTGGTGTTAGTGTAGAAGGCGCTGACTGTTGGTGGCTTATGAACGCGACCTAAACACACATTGGCCACGATGACCCATCCCAGATCCAACTTTTGAGCATAGGGCAGGTTGTGTGAGCCATTGACCTGTTTGCGGACCTTATGAACCCTGAGAATATCCCGACCTAAGAGAAGCATAATTTGGGCCTGTGGGTCGATCTCTGGGATGAGGTGTGCAACTGACTTTAAGTGTGTGTGATGAAAGGCTGCATTTGGAGTTGGAATCTCATCTCTGTTATTTGGAATGTCATCACATTCTATGAGGCTGGGTAGTGGAATGCTGACGGTCTTATCCAAAGATTCCACAATGTAGCCACTGGCCCTTCTTCCTGTCGCTTTCTTTACTCCAGCACATGTTTTCAATGAGTAAGGAGCACTTGGACTTTGGTCATTGAAGATTTCGAAGAACTGTGAACGAACTAGTGATCTGTTGCTCTGTTCGTCCAGGATCACGTACATTTTCACTGCTTTGTCAGCGTGGCCGGTTGGATACACTTTCACGAGGGATACTTTAGAACAGGATCGGCCCGGCATGTCTCCGCCACAGACATCTGTACATTTGGTGGCGACATGGGGTTGTGGAAAGCTATCCTCCTCCCCGCCATGCTCTGGAACCGAGTTTGTGTCTTCAACCCAAGGTGCAGGTCCAGGGTGAAGCGCTGTGTGGTGTTTTTCACTTTTACATTCATAACATCGAACATTAAATGTGCAGTTCCTTGCAATATGTGATGATGAAGCGCAGCATTTGAAACAGATATTATTCTCTTTTAAGAATGTCTTCCGGTCTGCAATGGGCTTTTCTCTGAATGCACGGCATTTGCGTATGGGGTGAGGTTTTTTGTGGATTGGACACAGTTGTTCACAGTCAGCGAATTGTGTTGGGGGTTCCCTAGGACCAGAGGTATCTTTTGGAAATATCTCTGTTTTGTGAACAGAGACTTCACGTTGTCTGTTTGGCTTCCAAGTTGTTTTTTCTGTCCTAAGAGACATGTCTGAGTAAGAGAAAAAGTTGAAACTTGGGTCATTTTTGACACTAGCTTCATGGCTAACAAATTTTACAAAGCAGGCAAAGGGAGGATATGACACGTGATATTGCTGCTTGTAGGATGCCCCAACTGACGCCCACTTTTCCTGCAGACCAAAGGGGAGCTTCTGTACAATAGGGTTAACGCCTCTTGCTGTATCGAGGAAAGAGAGACCGGGCAGGTCTCCTTCATCTTTGGCTGACTCTAGTTCCTTTAAAAGATCACTCAACTTTGTTAGTTTGGAATAATCTCGATTTGTTAATTTTGGGAAGGCGTCAATACGTTTGAACAGAGCATCTTCTATTACTTCCGCAGAACCATAAGATTGTTCTAGTCTGTCCCATATCATGGCCAAGCCTGCCGCTGGATGGTTGATGTGTATTGCTCTTATGTGCTCGACATGTTCTGATGACTCTTTGCCGAGCCATTTAAACAGGAGATCCATTTCCTCACTTGGTGTCAGGTCCAACCCTCTGGTTGCGTTCTGGAAAGAACGTTTCCAGGCTCTGTAGTTCTGAGGTCTGTCGTTGAATTGAAGCAGGCCTGTTGCCACAAGCTCACAACGAGCAAAGTATCTTACAAAGTCGCTAATGTTGGAGTTTTCATTATTGTTGTTTGAAGATGTGGGGTAGGATTTAAGAGCGGGATGACTTTTGTCGTTTTGACGTCTAAGACCTTGCTCAGGAGTAGCATTGCGGTTGTCAAACCGAACATTGTGTGTCATGTGGACCTTCTCATCTTCGTAGATGTAAGGCTGCTGTGAGGTGAGGCGAGTTGGTTGAGAAGCTGCATTGTGGCTTTGTGTATGATGGGAAAATATATTGGCTTGAGCCGGATGGAATGAGTCTGCTTCAGGTTTGATAGATGAAGTTGGAGTTTCGTAGTTTTGGCTTGGCTCTCTTTTTGCGACAACACCATCATCAAGCAGCTGAGCGTCTGTGTTTAGTGATTCAGCTTGGTCAATCACATATTGTTCTGTGCGTTGTGCAGATTCCAAGTTTGACATCAAACTTTGTCTTTCACTATTTGCCTCTACCGCAGCTTCAAGGACTTCGGCCTCAGCTACAGCTGCAGCTGTCTCTTTCTTGTATTTGAGCATTTCTATTGAGGCTTCCAGCTTAGCTTTTTCTATCTTCAGGCTCATTTCCTCTTTAGCGTAGGACATGCGTGCCTTTGCTGCCTCTGCTCTCGCTCTCGCTTTTGCAGCAGCAGACCCCGTCGATGATACACTTGAGTATGTAGCAGAACATGTAGCGCGGGACCGCGTCTTTAATGAAGTTGCTTTCTCGGACATGGCGTTGTCTGTTGACGTACCTCTGTTTAGACACCGCTGTGATGGTCATCCACTGGTTGCGTGTGATGACGTTGTTAGTAGCATCTGTCAGTTGGCTGCGTTGTCTTGCCCGGTAGAAAGCGTTGTTTTACTATGCCGCCCTCGGTATATGCGCTCCGATACACCTTGGCAGTTAGACGAACTCTTTTCTGACATCACGACTCTGAAGACAATGGTCCGTTGTCCACAGGTTTATTGACATGAGAAAGAGTAAAACTAAAACACACAAAAGACATAATAAATACAAATGAAGTGCATTTTCTTCGACCGCTACTTTATATATTTATGCTTATTTACTTTGTTGTTTATTAAGTCATATGGACTTTAATGACAACCATAGCAGTGCAGTTACCAACCCGAATGACTCAATAGGCCATGTGCACAAAAATATCCAAACTAAACATTGTCACAAAAATAATCACCTGAGATGATAATGAACAATAAAACAAATCAATACGTACCAACGATGCTATCAAAAAGGTATAGGATGCATGCAGACTCAACTGGATTGAAAAGCTACCAATACAAACAGCAGTTCTGAGCCATATTCTTCATTGACTTCCTGGTTCCTGTCACCTGACAAATTACATCACATTTCCTGTTTTCAAAATAAAACATAGCATTGATTTAACGTTTGTGACAAAACAGGCAGGTTCAAACATTACTTGTAAACACGTAACTCCGCTCACATCTGTAACGCGCATGCGCGAGTTCTTAGACGCCTGCAGAGCTCCGAGCGGGTGCAGCACGAGGCGAAGTTACGGCAGCAGAGCGACATGAACGTGCTGATAGAACCACGACTACCGGCTCCACTGCTCTGTAAGTACGGGAGTGTTTGAATGAAGCACACCTGGAACTATAACCGGGTGTTTTACTTCTGCTGCCCACCCGATACGGGAAAGACGGCCCTTTTTGTTAAGCTAGTTAGCGTTAGCGCAGGTAGTTTGCTAGTTAGCATGCTAGCTTGGAGCATGATGACCTGGACCAAAAGTAAACATCCCAGAATATTTTTCGTGTGTTAGGTGTTACTAATGCGTTAGATTGTTGCTGTACCCATAAATATTATTGCATTTCACATTGAAAATACGTTTTTAAAGCAATGGGGGCTAAATACAGATTGCAAGGGTGAAGGGCTGAATTCAAGAAGTTGTGCTCTGTAAACAAGAGGGACAACACATTGTAAGTTACTGCTGCTTAAAGCATGATACTGTGTAATATACCTGGAAATGTTACTCCAGAAATACCATAAGTTGCAGATGAATTGTTATCTTGTTGATAATGTAATAAGTAAACAATCTATAAATTAGGGTTCTAACACACCTGCTGCTGTTATTATTACTAGTTTATTACTGTCATCATAAACCCAAATGACCAACTTTGCCTTTTCCTTGAAGTCTTTGTGCTTTCCCACCTCACAGGTTTCTGCGGGTGGTGGTTGTATCTGATGGAGGTTACGTCTGATGATGGTTGTCCCTGCACTGGTCCTGGTTTAATAATCCACAATATTTGAATATTTTCTAGGAATCGGATGTACTGTACATCTTTTAAGTTGTTCACACCTTCTTCCCTGCTGTTTTCTCCTCAGGTTTCTCCAGGTTGAAGGTTTTTTTACATTTTGGGGTTTAGGGGATAGGGTGTTGCATGTTTACAGATTGCACAGCTGAACAAAATAAAATGATTTGAATTGAATAAACACGTTGACCAGAGGAATCTGCTCCGTGCACTCTGACTCCCTTTACACAAAGAATCCTCAAGTGAGGATGAGGGAGATGCAGCTGATTTCAGGTATACTATCCCAACTCAAGTGAGGCACATCTGTTACAGAATCTATTATGAAGTTCCAATGATTCAGAAAAATGGTCTACAAACACAGAATTGTTGAACACAGAAATGTTGTTTCTGCACTTTTAATTCCATAATTTATTTTCCTGAAAAATATATTTTATTTCTGTATTGTTTTTAATTAGCAAAAGTGTTGTTATATGTATAGTGTTATATTTATAATAAATACAAATCAATAAAATAATGTGTTTGCCCTTGTTAAGGGATATTAACATGACAACTGTGACTAAGTATGTAACTTGTAAGTTTCCAGCGAGCAATTTATCCGTTGAAACAACGTTTAAAAGACGTCTATGGCCCGACGTTGAAAAGAGGTTGCAAATTGGTTCAAAAGTGAAAGTTGTTTCAACGTCTATTCATAGACGTTGAAAAGACGTTTACGTTTAGACCACATTTCAACCAGCGAGCATTTCAACGTTGAAAAGACGTTTAAAAGACGTCTATGGCCCGACGTTGAAAAGACGTTGCAAAATGGTTTAAAAGTGAAAGTTGTTTCAACGTCTACGAATAGACGTTGAAAAGACGTTCGCGTCGCGTTTTCAACGTGATTTATAATATCGGTGGTAAACTTACAAATGTGGACGTAGTTTCTTTTTAAACCTCTAAAATAATAATATAGCACACAAGAGAAGACGGAATATTACCGTATTAAAAAATCACGTTGAAATGTGGTCTAAACATAGACGTCTTTTCAACGTCTACGAATAGACGTTGAAACAACTTTCACTTTTAAACCATTTTGCAACGTCGGGCATAGACGTCTTTTAAACGTCTTTTCAACCAAAAAATGCTCACTGGGATGTATCAACAAATTGGGGTTTTCTGGCACGTTGATGTTTCATCCCATTTTTAGACGGTTGAAAAGACGTTGAAATGAGGTCTTAGACGTTCAGACCTCATTTCAACCCGATTTCAACCATATTTCAACGTTGAAATTACGTCTTGTGCTCACTGGTTCAGAAATTTCTTGTCATTCACTGACATTTCCCTTTTTTCTTCATAGGCCTTCTCATTGAAGTCTGTGTTGTATTGACTCACCAGAAGTTCTTGCAGGTCGGCCAAGGAGATCCTGTTTGCAGTCACGGTGGCCATTTCCACAACTTTGCTGCTACCTTCCAATGGGCCGTTGATTACCCAACCTAATGCTGTTCTTAGAGACGGTGCTTTCAGGGTCCAATCGATACTGCGAGGTGCGTCCGCTCCCGCCGCCTCCCTCGCCATCGACGCCTTAAATCTTCGGCTGCTTTTAGAATAACTTATTTCCCCGTCAAGATGGTTCAGCTACTGTAAAGAAAAGGGCACCGTATCTCGCTCTTTAATCTCATTAAGTGCTCGGCAAGAACGACAGCTTTGTTTCTCCGACGCGCCCTGAAACAAGCTCCATATCTCACGCGCTTGAGCGCCGCTCAGCATCTCGCCGTCGTAAACCGAGCTTTGGCATGTTTGGCAGAGCGCCTTGAGCGCCGTGTACAACCAGTATAGATCAACCGATTAACCAATCTGTTCGTTTAAATTGTTTATGCTTCATCAATTAATGTTTCACATAACTAATGTGCCGCATCATACATATTTTTATATTAATTTTAAACTTTTCAAAATTGAAAATTAAAAACTTTTTATTTATTTATTGTAAATGACCTCTCGCGGCCCACCTGCAGTACCTTCGCTGCCCACACTTTGGGAATCGCTAATCTAGATGATGATAAGAATGCTCTTTAAGTTTTATGTACGCGTAGAACGGGGTTCATGTTTATATCTTTGAAAGCATCATTTCTGAGTGCCCCTGAACGCAACATCGCAGCTCGCTAATTTGTCCTGAAGTCTTCTCTGGTAAGTAGCATTGAGCACCTCTGCTCATGGCTCATTATTTGAATGGTTTAGATTAGGTTTTAGCATTTAGAAACGGCATTATAATGTTTCTGAAGAGAAAAGTTGAAAATCCCCCCTGTATGGCATAAGCACGAACCCGTGACTAACACTAGCATAGCAGCTAATACGGACTTCCCCTTTTCTCTATAAAAGTGTGTTGTAACGGTTATAAAGGGATGAATCAGCTAATTAGGTCGCTAGCTAGCTAACACATTTGTCAGTTATGTCTTAGTCTTAGTGTGATTATTATGAGGAACTCAATCCCTGTTAGATTTCTGTACGGTTAGCCAACGTTAGCCAATTTCAATGCATTTTTGAAACGCTGTTAATGCTGGGTTTAGTAATTCCAATTAACAAATTAATTATGACGGCCAAATTACTTTGTGTTTTAGCTCACTACTTAGATAGCTAAATTACTAGTTAGCCATCCGTAACTAGTCGTATATTTCGTCCAGAATATTCCGCACTTCCATTCATGTCGAAATTATAAATGAGCAACCAACCAATTTCAATGCATTTATGAAACCTCTAAAACCAAATCATTGTTTTCATTAACTCAACTAACTTAAATCAAGCTGAGAAATGTTAAATTGCAAATAAATAAACCAACATCAGCATAATTAGCTCTAGTAGCCTGCTAGGCGCTAGCTGAGGCAAACCATTGACTTGAGTAAGAACAAGCTCATTTATGTCATAAATACTGTGGGTGCTTGTCTAAGGCATGTCTGTGTTTTTTATGTTTTTATTCATTTATTTTTATTTATTGTATACATATTTATTTTATGTATGACTGAGATTGACTTTAATCTGGGTTCTCATGTTATATCAGCAATATTTAACTGCAGTAATTACTTCTCTAATTACTTTTTTTGGAAGGCGTTAAACTTACTACATGTTTGTCTCATTGCTTCCTCTCCTAGACAACAGAACATCGATCATCTTCTCTGTGGTTAGAAACTGTTTAGCATCTGGATGCTTTTTTCAATTGTAGATTTATTTCGTTGTTTATCTTATTTGTTGAACAGTTGTTTGGCCTTTAACATATTAGATAATTGTGAAAACGTCATGCAAAAGTCTCCCAGGATTATGTCCTTGTGTTTTGCCCACAAATCAGAGAGATTTGGTTTACTCTCATAGAGAAGCAAAGCTTCTCATAGAGAAGCAAAGCAGAAAATATTGCATATTGCAGCCGGAATCAGAGAATTTAACTTCATCAATTAATAGCAACATCTTGAATGCTGTGTACCATAGTGCTATAGATTTGCACATCTTAAATCCTTCAGAAGCAATGACAGCGATCAGGGAAACAGTTTAGTCTTGTTAGAAACACAGTTAGTATTACCACACAGCTCAGTTTCACACTGCAATATACAATTATCTTCCTAGAAAAACATCACTTTGGAATGAGATGGTTAATACATGAAGTAATAACTTGAGACATTTATAATGAATAAAATGACTTTTGAATGAGACAGCGATTATAAATAAGGACATACAGAGTCCACCTGAAATAACTTTTAATTCAAATAAGCAATGAGGTTGCCTTTTAAAATGTAACTGAGAATGTCTTTTTTTCTTCTTCTCTCCATCCCTCACCCTCCTTGGACTTTTCCTGGACTCCTCCTTTTTGTGTTTAACTGCAGAACCTCACTGCTGGTGAATTATTGCTGACTCTGAGCTGTGAGTTGATTCATTACTTATTCATTATGATTTTGCTATAGCTCAAGTGACGTTGAATTGGTTTACAGTTTAGACCACCTTCCACCACTATATTTTGTCTCTACAAGAATT